TATATTATTTATAATAATATATTATTTATATTATTATATAAATATATATTATTTATATAATAATAATTATATATATTATATATATATAAATAATATATTATTATGTATAATATTATTTATTTTTTTTTCTTTTATTGTTTCCTTACGTATACCATTATTATACAAAATACCCCCATTTATTGAGGTAATAGATTCATCTTATTTAGGTAAAGTTTCCTTATTTTTTATTCCTTATAATATATGTTGTATATTAATTAAATTAAGATATTTAATTGTTAATTTTTTATCTATTCATCATGGATTTTCTTATCTAATTCAATTCCTTATTTATACATTATTATTTGCTATTCTTGGTCTATTCTTATTCCTTATACAAATTATTACTCCTCCTTATTATTCACAGAGGCAAATAGCAAGAAAAGATATTATGACTCTTATTATGCATATACAAGAAACACTTTATGCTATACAACAATATCTACAAACTATTTCTTATACATTACGTACGAAACCCTAAACCCTAAACCCTAAACCCTAAACCCTAAACCCTAAACCCTAATTTATACCATAAACCCTAAAAAATCTACATTTTATATTTTTAGTAATAAATATTTATGTAAACATAAATAAATTAATTAAATATATTAATTAATTAAATAAATATATAAATAATATAACAATTAAGTAAGATAATAAAACATATAAATAAATATTTATTTATTTATTTATGTGTATCTTTGTGTGTGTGTATGTGTGTGTGTGTGTGTGTGTGTATGTGTGTTTTTGTTTTCTTCTTCTTCCTGTTCCTCCCTTCTTTTTCCTCCTTTTTCCTTATAATAATAAATAAATAAATAAATGAATAAATAAATGAATAAATAAATGAATAAATGAGTAGAGGTTGAGGATATAGAGAGTAAATTATCAATAATAAGGAGAAGAAGTAAGAGGGATATAATAAGATTAGAGGCAGCAGCATATCCATTATATATAATAATAGGGTGTAGATACACCCTAAGAGGGAGAATAGTAGAGAGCGGTAGGGAACCTTATTTATTATTTCCTCCTTGTCCTCGTATAAATACATTACCTGAATTAGCTCGTGTATATTCATCGTTATTGCAGCTAACAATGCATATAGTAGGTGCAGCAAAGCAAGGAGTTGAGCTGGGATCGTGTGGTGGGATCGATCCCAGGGCAGCAACACGATCCCGTGGTCTATTAAGGAATATAAAAGAGATACAGCAATGTATATCTGTTGCTGTAGATATATGTACAGTTGCTGCAGATTGCATGCAAATAAGTCCATCATTCTTATCATTTAATAGATATATTGCTGCTGCTGCTGCTGCTAATCAGCAATTATTTATACATAAATCTATGCTGCAGTCTGCTGCTTCCTCTTATTCTTTCCTTAATTTATTAACTGCGCAGCAGCAGCTACAGGGGCTACAATTAATACAAAGTGCTAACAATCTTCTCCATCATACAGGTCTATTCTTACCACAACAATTAAATAATTATAATAATAATTACCAATATAAACAATATTTTAATCATATTTATAATAATAATTATTATAATGATTATAATCTATATACAACAGGACAGCAGCAACAGCAACAGCAGCAGCAGCAGCAGCAGCAGCAGCAGCAGCAGCAGCAGCAGCAGCAACAGCAGCAACATACAGCTATACATATACATAGTAATCATCATCATCGGCATCATCATCGTCATCGTGCTGCTGCTGCAGCAAGGAGACATCGGGCAACAGCAGCAACAGCAGCAACAGCAGCAGCAGCAGCAGCAGGAAGAGGAAGCATAGCAGCAGGAGGGGATCATGAGGCAACAGAGGGAGAGTATGCAACAGAAGATGGGAATGCAGCACCAACAGCAGCAATAGCAGCAAATGGTACAATTGCAACAACAGCAGCAACAGCAGCAACAGCAGCAGAAGAAGGAGAAGAGGAAGAAGAAGAAGAAGAAGAAGAAGAAGGAGAAGGAGAAGGAAGAGGAGGAAGAGGAGGAAGAGAAAGACGTACAAGAGGACATTATAATAGGAGGGAACATCTATTCCCTTTCTCTATTAGGAGGGAACAACAGAGGCAAATGCAGCAGCAGCAACAGCAGCAGCACCAGCAGCAGCGGCATGAGGGAGAGTATGATGAGGAAGAAGAGGAGGAAGGAGAAGAAGGAGAGGAAAGACAATTAACAAGTTCTCCTCCTGCATCTGCAGCAGCAGCAGCAGCAGGAGCAGCAGGAGCATCTCCATGGACAAAGTTACGTTTGCTTCCTCCTTTATTAGGGGATCGACGTAAGCATAGAAGCAACAGCAGCAGCAGCAGCAGCAAAAGAAGCAACAATAAGAAAGAGAGCAGCAGCAAGAATAAGAGAGGACATTTATTAATAAATAGAGATAAGAAGGAGAAGAAGAAAAAGAAGAAAAAAAGAGGAAAAGAAAAGACATCATTAATAGATCATAACAACAAAAACATCATAAGTAGCAGCAGCAGCAGGAGCAGCAGGAGCAGCAGCAGGAGTAGCAGCAGGAGCAGCAGCAGCAGGAGCTCCTTTTATATAAGAAGGAGAAGGAGGAGACCCTTATCTCCCCCTATAGTACCAACAATAAATCGTCCCTTGCTGCACCTGCCTAGTCTTGAGCTCCAATCCTCTGCTGGTCCTTCTCTATTAGATAATGATTATTCTATTGCTGCACCGGGATCGACTTTTGACGATCCCAATTTTTTCGATCCCACCGATCCCATCGATCCCAACGATCCCAACGATCCCAGTAGACACGATCCCAGTAATAGACACGATCCCCAATACGATCCCCAATATGATTTAGATAGAGAATCTATACATCATACACAAACAGATAATTCTCCTCAACAAATCTTCTTACCTGTACCTCCATCTAATACTTCCTTTGCTGCTGCTGATCAGCAGCAACAGCAGCAACAGCAGCAGCAGCAGCAATTGCTACTTGGACGTCAAAATTCAGCAAGAGCAGCAGCAGCAGCAGAAAGGAAGCCTTTGTTTCTTCCTGTTGATAATACACGAGGCAGCAAACAGATTGGTGACGATCTAATGGATACACCAAGAGCAACAGCAGCAGCAGCAGCAGGAGAGAGACAAGGATCTGTATGCGGCAGTGCATCTATAGGAGAGGAGACAACAGCAGAACAATCTGTCTTAGGGAGGCATCATCATCATCGTCACCATCAGCAGCAGCAGCAGCAGCAGCAGCAAAGAAGTGCTACTAATAGAGAGAGTGCATGCAGCGAGGCAGCATTCCCTCCTTCTCCTTCTGCTGAATTAGGTTTGCTGCTAGCATTATTAGGACACAGCAGCAGCGTACCTGAGGTAGATATGTCGTCTCCTGCAGTCGATCCCGATCCCGATCCCGATCCCGATCCCGGGGATCGGAAACAAAGGCCATGGGCTGCTGCTGCTGCTGCACTACCTAGATGGGGTGGTTTGTTTAGGCGTCAGCGTAGCTCATTATTACGTAGGAAGAGGAGCAGCAGCAGCAGACGTTGGCGATGGAGTATAAGTAGGAGAAGCAGCAGCAGCAGCATCAGCAAAAGGAATAAAAAAAGGAAGGAAAGAAAGAAAAAAATAACAGCAAGAACAGCAATTCGTTCCTCCTTATTAGAGGCTGTACAAATACCTCGATTAATGCTGAATCCATCAAGGACTTCCTCTCCCTCTACCAACAAGCAGCAGCAGCAGCAGCAGCAACAGCAGCAGCAGCAACAACAGCAACAACAACAGCAGCAGCAACAACAACAGCAACGACAACAACAGCAGCAACAGCAGCAGCAGAAGCAGCGACGTTCTGCTGCAGCAGAGAAGAATTGGTATACATTAGAGGCATATGAACAATTACCCGAGGAAGGACAAGAGGCAGAGGCAATAAGACAACAATTAAAATTAACAATGTTAATTGTCTCTCTTATACAAATAAGCAGCAAAGATACACTCAACTTCTGCTCGGCTATAGAGGCATACCTATATGCAAGTGTTACGCCGGCTTGGAGCCGTAAGTACATACAAACTTACAAACAAGGGTTTAGGGTTTAGGGTTTAGGGTTTAGGGTTTAGGGTTTAGGGTTTAGGGTATTTTATTTTCTGGGGTTTACTTAGGGTATATGGGGATTTAGGGTTTTGGGGTTTGGGTACCGAGGGTATCTAGGGTTTATGGTACCTACGTTATATATGGTTTAGGGTTTCTAGGGTTTAGGGTTTAGGGTTTCTAGGGTTTAGGGTTTAGATATATATATATGTATGTGTATATTTTTTTGTACAGGATTTTGGTTGAATATTCGTATGATATTTTTATCAGCAACAGTAATGGGTATGCAATTATCTCGTAGTATAAAAGGATTTATTTATATTTTATTTAATTTTTCTTCTTTTTCTTTTTCTTCTCTTCTTAATGATGTTGATTTTGTACATTGTGCTAAATTTGTTTGCGGTATGATTGCCCTCTTTGCTGTTGGCGTATTTGCTGATGAGGAGATAACTATGTGGCTTGTTGGTAAGTTATATAATTATTTAATATAATTAATTAATTAATTAATTAATTAATTAATTTAATTTAATTTAATTTAATTAATTAATTTAGTTCAGTTAGCTAATTGATTAGACACAAATACACAACAATAATACCCGAAAAAAAAAACACCAAGAAGAAAAAACCCTCAAAAAGTACAACAAAGTAACGAAATAAACAAACAACTAAATAAGCAACTAAATAGGTAAATAAATAAATAATATATATGTGTGTGTATATGTATATGTGTATACAGGGTCTGTTGATGTAGAGAGCGCCGTTATGCCTGTATCCTCTTGGTTAATATTAGGGTTTGGTAGTACAATAAAGTGGACATATGAAGGAACAATGCATGCAGCAGCAAGCCGTACCTTAGGTACATTAATAGGTTGTGGTTGTATATATATAGCAATGATTAATACAGATAATTATATAATTATATTATTATATTTATATTTATTATGTTTCTTATCTTTCTTCTTATTTGCTAACCCTAAGGATATACATAATACCTTCCACCCTGAGTTCGGTCTTATAGGCCAAGTCTTCTTATGGACTATTCTATTTATATATCAGACAGTAGCTGTATTATCTATAGATAAGCCTCCATCAGAGCTACCAGGTATTTATTTATTTATTTAATTAAATTTAATTTAATTTAATTAATTAAATTATATTATATTATATTCATTGGGGTTTAATGACGGGTTTATTATGATGGGTTACACGGGGTATTAGGGGTAATGCTGTAAACCCTAATGTAATCATAAACCCTAGATAAACCCTGCATACCCTAAACCCTAATTAGTTGTAAACCCTCGTATTCGTTACTATACTAACCCTTATATAACCCCTTATATAAACCCTAATATATACATATAAACCCTCATATAAACCCTAACAGATAAACCATCAAATATTCACCTATATAATAAAATCTTCTAAGCATATTATCCACTCTTACTGTTGCTGCTGTTGTTGTTGTTGCTGCTGCTGCTGATATTAATTATGCTGTATATATATGTGTGTCTGTCTGTGTTGCTGTGTGTGTGTGTGTGTGCATGCATGCATGCGCAGCATTAAAGTTGAATATAGTGAATAGCCGTTTATGGGGTACATTAGTGGGTATAGCAACAGCAGTAATAATATCTCATTGCCCTCCTGCCTTCTCCTCTGAATCACAAGTTCGTTCTTTATGTAAATCTTTATTAGGGGATTGTAGTAAATGTGTATCCCTTATTGGTACTGCATTTGTACGGAGTGTATGTGCACCTACTCGTACTGCAACAGCAACAACTGCAGCAGCAACAGCAACAACTGCACCAACAGCTAATACAGCACCCAATACAGCTGCTACTACTGCTACTACATCTGCTGCTTCTCCTGCATCACCTACTGATGATCTACCTGTTGGTTCGTCTGCTGCTGAGGAAGCAGCGAACCAACGGCAGCAACAGCAGCAGCAGATGAAGCAGCAGCAACAGGGAGATCCAGCTACTCTTGTTAGTGTTGTTGTTCAGCAGCAGCAACCTCAGCAGCAACAGCAGCAACAGCAGCAAGATGACCGTTTACGAAGCAGCAGTGCATGTCCACGAACTAGTATGGCAGCAGCACAGCAGGAACCAGCAGCTGCGGCTGCGGCTGCGGCTGCTGCAGCAGCTGCTGCTGCTGCTGCTGCTGCAGCAGCAAATGATAGAGGACAAGGAAGAGGAGGAAGGGAAGGAAAATGGTTAAGAGGTTTATGCGGGTTGGGGTGTCTAGCGAGGCCTGAGACATTTATGCGAATACCTAAGACTAAATTATCTGATTCTATGTCTTCTTTTTCTTTTTATTCATCTTTTTCTTTTTTATCTTTCTTTTCTTCTTTATCTTGCTCATGTTGTAAGAGGAAGAAAGACAGGAGAAAGACTTATACTGCAACAGGAGCAGGATCGTCAGCAGCAACTGCAGCAGCAGCAGCAGCAGCTGTTACAGGAACATCTAAAGAAAGGACAAAGAGAGGAAATAAAAAACAACAAAAAGGAAATACAAATAAAAAAACAAAACGTTCTATTGCTACTAAATTCCTAAGGAAACATCGAGCATCCAAGAAAGGCCTCGCGTAAGATAAACCCTAATAAACCCTAAACCCTAATAAATCATAAACCCTAATAAAAAAAACCTTACATTAAACCCAAATAAACACGAAGCACAAGACACTAAACCCTAATAAACCCTAGACATTAAACCCTAAACGCTAAAACACAAACCCTCGAGTGTGTTTCATGCACATCCATTTAAATATAGCATTTCTTTCTGCATATACACAAATAGCAAAATAACTAACTACCCAAATACCCACAAAAGTATATAAATAAATAGACAAATAAAATCCCTAACAATGTATCTAAAAACCTTATCTAAGTAACTAACTAAATCCTGAGAAAAACACGAAAATAAACAAAAAAATATACATATGCATATGTATATGTATATATATATGCATATATTTTCAGGCCAATAGAATGTGTAGATCGAGCGGAATCAATTATTCATGACTCCTTCAGTATAAAATTATTTATGTGTCGAAGATTATTTACAGAAGGGACGAAATGCCCACATTCATTATTTTGGTTTGTGGATTCGTCCTTGGATAAAATATTGAATTTTATGGATTATTTATCTATGACTATTCTTGATACTTGTCAAGATTTTAAGGATTGTCTTGTTGCTGTTGATGCTGCACATGCTGCTGCTGCTGCTGCTAATGCTGCTGCTAATGCTGCTGCTGTTGCTGCTGCTGCTGCTGAAGCAGCTAATCATCCTGATGCACCTCCAGCTACTCCCAATGTTCTACCCGATCCTAAGAGGGCCGCACTTAGTCAGTGCAATCTTATGATGCAAACTAATAGTGGTAAATATACACGACAAACTGTTGCTGCTGCTGCTTCTGCTGCTGCTGGTGGTGTTGCTGCTGCTCCTGCTCCTGCTGCTGGTGGTATTGCTGCTGCTCTTATTGTTGCTGCTGTTGTTGCTGTTGCTGTTCCTTCTGTTGCATTTGTTATTGCTGTTTCTGTTCTTGCTACTTCTGTTGCTACTGCTCTTGTTGTTGCTACTCTGCTTGTTGCTGTTACTCCTCCTCCTCCTCTTGCTGCTATTACTTCTGCCGCTGCTGCATTTCCTTAATAATATATATTATACTATTGCTGCTTGTTATGCTCCTTAGGTCGCTCTCTTCGTCGTCGTCTAGTAAAGTTAATTGCCCTACAAAAAGCTGCATATTTAGACATAGGAAGAGAAATTGCTGCTGGTGGATTCTCTTGCTGCAGTCGTTTCTTTGCTTATAGTCTATGTGATTGTATGAGGAAACAAATTAAGGATGCATATATTAATGCTGCTAGGGTAAGATAAATAAGTAAATTAATTAATTAATTAATTAATTAATTAATTAATAGTAATAATATTTATTATTTATTATTGTTGTTATATTTATACTAATGGTCTTATGATGGAATTGCTGCTGCTGGTCATTATGATGATATATACCTGTTACATGCATACATATATATATGTATATATACGTATACATATATAAGTATATATATATGTATATATATGTATATATATGTATATATATGTATATATATGTATATATATGTATATGTGTATATGTATATGCATGCAGGCGTATACATTAAGAAGAAGATTAATAGAGAGGACATTAGCATCAATAGTATTTAGTATTGTAGATTGTTGTAAGGAATTAAGAAGAAAACAAGAAAGACATTCAACAGAAGAAAGAAGATTAGCAATTTGTGTGCTGCTGCTGCTGCTGCAGAAGATAGAGATGAGGCATGCAGTAACAGATGATGTACATCTATACTTAGCTGAATGTATATTAACACGTTTATTACCTAAGGAGGAAGTAATTTATTTATTAAATAAGAATAATAATAATAATAATAATAATAATCATAAAAAGAATAATCATAAATATCTATCTATACACCATAAACATAAACATAAACATAAACATAATATACATAATAATAATTCACATGTTGCTTTCCTTATTAAGCAACATAAAAAACATAAAAAAAGACGCAATAATAATAATAATAATAATAATAATAATAATAATAATAATAATAATAATAATGAATAAATATATTGATTATATTATTATGTTATATATATCTCTAATTATTATTATATATACATCTATCTATATATACATGTATATATATATAAGGGTATATATATATTTATATAGATGTATATAGGTGTATATATATATGTATTTATATTTGTGTATATTTGTATATATACGTATATACATATCCATGTATATACATATATATAGATATACATATATATACATATACATATACAAACATATACATAAACATATATATACACATATCCGTATATATACATATTCATGTATATACATATGCATGTATATACATATAGACAAATATACATATATATACATTTATATACATATAAATGTACATATATGTATATTTATTACATATATAAACATATATACATATATATATAAATGTATATATATGTATTTATATATACATATACATGTATATAAATGTATATATATATAGATATATA